ATACTTTTCTCACATTTTTGTTGTATATAAACAAGGGTGCTCACATGCTGCTGAGAATGCATTCACCCACAACGACAACTTTTGAAAAAATTTTATTTTTTTAAGCACTTTCTGACATTACCTAATCATCAACATGGAGCCACTCACCCTCACCATCATTGCCATTACCACCATCGTGGTGGCCGTNACCATCGTGGTGGCCGTTTTTGCCTGGCAGCGGTACAATGACTCCGTAGCAGAGCGGGAGTTTGCCCGACGCAACCTGAAACACGTCAAGATGGGCAACATGATCCGGGCGGTGATGAGCAAGGAAAAACTGGAGGTCACAAAAGACGAAACCATTAAAAGGGAAGGTCCCGTCTGGGGCTTCTCAATGATGGGCAAGTACACCATCATGGTCGCCGATCCGGAGCTGGTCCAGCAAGTACTTTCAAACCAGTTCACCAACTACACTAATCGAAGGGTAAGTCATTTGATAGCTAGATTATATAAAAAAAATTCAACTCATTTTAAACTCCTTTTCAGGACTTTCCCGCCCTCAACAGCTTCATGGAGAACAGTCTCTTCTTTGTGCCGGATGAAAAGTGGAAACGGCTGCGAAGCATTGCCACTCCAGGTAAACTAAACAAATAAACTCCTAAACAAAGTTTTAAAAAGTACTGAAAAATCATTCAATTCTTGCTTCTGTTCAGCATTCTCCGTGGGAAAGCTGCGCCAGATGAAAACCTGCATGGACGGCACTGTCCACACCATGATCACCAACATGGACGCGGAGATCAAGAGGAGGTAATGCTAGAACAAATCAGTCACAAGATTATCAAAAACACTTACCAACCTTTCTCATTTTCAGTTCAATCCACAACGTGAAGGCTCTCTTCGACTGTTTCACCATTGACACCATCATCCAAACGGCCTTTGGCCTCAAAGTGGACAGCCTCAACGACCCCACTAATCCGATCATAATCCACGGTCGAAAGTTGTTCCAGGATAAGCCTCCACTAATCGACATGCTCAAGATGGTCCTCATCATGGCCGTTCCCGCGCTGACCAAGCGGATCAAGGTGGAGAGCATGGAAAACCAGACCAAGTTCTTTGAGGAGCTGGCCATTGGCCTAGTGGCCCAGAAACGGGCCGAGTACGCCAAGGCAGGCGGCCACTTTGATAAGGCGAGCAGTTTCATCGAGTTTGTTCTCGAGGCAGAAGCGGAAAACAAGCGAATGGAGGAAGGAGATTTGGCGGCGGCTGATGGGAAAAAGAAACCTACGAAATGTAAGAGAACATTTTTTAGCTTTGAGTTTTGAGCTTATCAAACTTATCAATTTTTTTATCTTTTGACCTTTTTTCTAGACATGACCACCGAGGAGATCGTCGCCCAGTGCGCCACCTTCTTCATCGCCGGCTTTGACACCACCTCCGCCACGCTGAGCCTATCAGCCTATCAACTGGCCAAACACCCCGAGATCCAGGAACGCCTTTATCAAAGTGTCACCGCCTCCCTCGCCAAATTCCAGGCGGAATCTCCCGAGCTCAAGGACGACTTCTACTCGCTGGTCACCTACGACCGGTTGCAGTCGAAAGAGTTTGAACTCCTCGAGGGGGTGATCAACGAGGCGCTTCGCCTCGACTCGCCGGTCATCTTTCTGGAGCGGANTGCCAAATTTCAGGCGGAATCTCCCGAGCTCAAGGACGACTTCTACTCGCTGGTCACCTACGACCGTCTGCAGTCAAAGGAGTTTGAACTCCTCGAGGGAGTGATCAACGAGGCGCTTCGCCTCGACTCGCCGGTCATCTTTCTGGAGCGGAAGGCGACGGCCGATGCTGAACTAGCAAATGAGGACCGCTCGAGGGTGATCAACGTCAAAGCAGGTGACATCATTCACATTCCCACCTACTCGTTGCACCGAGATCCGCAGCAGTGGAAAAATCCGGAGGAGTTCAATCCTGAGCGTTTCATTGGAGATAATGCGACCTTCCACAAGTACGCCTACCTTCCTTTCGGCCTAGGACCGAGGAAGTGCGTCGCGCAACAAATGGCCATCATCGAGGCAAAGCTTGCCCTGCTGCATATCGTTAGAGATTTCCGTTTTGAAGTTTGTCCGCAGACGCAGGCCCAGCTAGAGCACGTCAATCAGTTCGATTTTAATGCCCTGAAGGAGGTGCACCTCAGGGTGGTAAGGAGGAGTTAGGTAGAATTGAAAAAGTTTTTTCTGTTGTAAAATGTTATCAGCTTTAGTGTCAATTAAAGTGTTGATAAAATAAAAGCATTAGTCACAATTTTTTTTTCTCCAGAACAAAAAAAGTCATTGCAATACAGTTTTTCTTGCAAAATTTTTTTTTGTAAAGCGTAACCGTCGGCCTGGAGATAAATTAAATATCAAAAAATCTCGCTAAAAAAAGGATAAAAAACTGTGCCGTTTTCAGCTTTAGTTGACGACAAAAGTGACTAACTGACTAACTAACTACAAAGTGTAATTGGCAATAAAGTAAACTGTTTATGAATTTTTCGCCTGTTCGTGTTTGATGCTGGAAAACGCTGATTTTTTATACGCAGGTAAAAAGTAAATGTTCATGTTTGCTGTAACAAGCAAGCTGTTTTTCATTGATCGACTATCAACAAACCAAAAAAGTCATCACTATCCTTGAACCAAACCAAAAATGATTTGAATTAATTGAAATTGGTAATTGAGTAGATCACTACTTGAATGTTTTGAGCACACAAAAAATGAATAGTTTTACTTTGAAATCTATCAATACTCAACACTGAAAAAAAAGTTTAACAAGTTCCGAATTTTTTGCCCAACAATACACTACTTTCGCTGCTTTGATACCAGTCAACAAATGAAAGAGCAAATCAAATATGAGTTGCTACCTGAGACTGATGACGCAACAGAAGTTCCGCTTTTGTTCGAAGAATCACCATCACCACCTTCATCACCCTCATCACCACTTTCTTCATCTCCCAAATCGACCTCCCTGATGGGCTNGCAGAAGTTCCGCTTTTGTTCGAAGAATCACCATCACCTTCACCTTCATCACCCTCATCACCACTTTCTTCATCTCCCAAATCGACCTC